CCTCTCCTGCTGATGTTCAGGTGTATATCAGTATGTAAGTGTCTCTACTTTAAAGAGTCCTCTCCTGCTGATGTTCAGGTGTATATCAGTATGTAGTGTCTCTACTTTAAAGAGTCCTCTCCTGCTGATGTTCAGGTGTATATCAGTATGTAGTGTCTCTACTTTAAAGAGTCCTCTCCTGCTGATGTTTAGGTGTATCAGTATGTAGTGTCTCTACTTTAAAGAGTCCTCTCCTGCTGATGTTCAGGTGTATATCAGTATGTAGTGTCTCTACTTTAAAGAGTCCTCTCCTGCTGATGTTCAGGTGTATATCAGTATGTAGTGTCTCTACTTTAAAGAGTCCTCTCCTGCTGATGTTCAGGTGTATATCAGTATGTAGTGTCTCTACTTTAAAGAGTCCCTCTCCTGCTGATGTTCAGGTGTATATCAGTATGTAGTGTCTCTACTTTAAAGAGTCCTCTCCTGCTGATGTTCAGGTGTATATCAGTATGTAGTGTCTCTACTTTAAAGAGTCCTCTCCTGCTGATGTTCAGGTGTATATCAGTATGTAGTGTCTCTACTTTAAAGAGTCCTCTCCTGCTGATGTTCAGGTGTATATCAGTATGTAGTGTCTCTACTTTAAAGAGTCCCTCTCCTGCTGATGTCAGGTGTATATCAGTATGTAGTGTCCTCTACTTTAAAGAGTCCTCTCCTGCTGATGTTCAGGTGTATATCAGTATGTAGTGTCTCTACTTTAAAGAGTCCTCTCCTGCTGATGTTCAGGTGTATATCAGTATGTAGTGTCTCTACTTTAAAGAGTCCTCTCCTGCTGATGTTCAGGTGTATATCAGTATGTAGTGTCTCTACTTTAAAGAGTCCTCTCCTGCTGATGTTCAGGTGTATATCAGTATGTAGTGTCTCTACTTTAAAGAGTCCTCTCCTGCTGATGTTCAGGTGTATATCAGTATGTAGTGTCTCTACTTTAAAGAGTCCTCTCCTGCTGATGTTCAGGTGTATATCAGTATGTAGTGTCTCTACTTTAAAGAGTCCTCTCCTGCTGATGTCAGGTGTATATCAGTATGTAGTGTCTCTACTTTAAAGAGTCCTCTCCTGCTGATGTTCAGGTGTATATCAGTATGTAGTGTCTCTACTTTAAAGAGTCCTCTCCTGCTGATGTTCAGGTGTATATCAGTATGTAGTGTCTCTACTTTAAAGAGTCCTCTCCTGCTGATGTTCAGGTGTATATCAGTATGTAGTGTCTCTACTTTAAAGAGTCCTCTCCTGCTGATGTTCAGGTGTATATCAGTATGTAGTGTCTCTACTTTAAAGAGTCCTCTCCTGCTGATGTTCAGGTGTATATCAGTATGTAGTGTCTCTACTTTAAAGAGTCCTCTCCTGCTGATGTTCAGGTGTATATCAGTATGTAGTGTCTCTACTTTAAAGAGTCCTCTCCTGCTGATGTTCAGGTGTATATCAGTATGTAGTGTCTCTACTTTAAAGAGTCCTCTCCTGCTAATGTTCAGGTGTATATCAGTATGTAGTGTCTCTACTTTAAAGAGTCCTCTCCTGCTAATGTTCAGGTGTATATCAGTATGTAGTGTCTCTACTTTAAAGAGTCCTCTCCTGCTGATGTTCAGGTGTATATCAGTATGTAGTGTCTCTACTTTAAAGAGTCCTCTCCTGCTGATGTTCAGGTGTATATCAGTATGTAGTGTCTCTACTTTAAAGAGTCCTCTCCTGCTGATGTTCAGGTGTATATCAGTATGTAGTGTCTCTACTTTAAAGAGTCCTCTCCTGCTGATGTTCAGGTGTTTATCAGGTGTATACAAAAGCTCTTTATTTTTCTCATACTGCCTGTGCTGCAGCACCTCTTTTCACCCTCCGTCTGAAACCAGAGTTTTGGTTAGCTGGCTAGCTCTGTTGTGATTAATCAACTTTTTAGAGATGCCCCGCTTCTTAGCCTATCACGTACATCATGTTGGAGCGCTAGCCAATAGGAGCGCAAGTGATAGTGATGTCACTTGTTGGCGTTTCAGGCAGTGTGTTGGAGAGAAACTCCCTCTGGAGGGAACATAGGGATTTTAGCCTTTGCAGACCATTTACATGCACTAAAACATATAGAACACACTGCAAGGGAAAAGAAGCAGAATAGGGCCTCTTTAATTTAGCCATAAAATCAACATTTACAGTAGACTGGCATTGAGGCATTACTTATTCCTTCTCTGTTTTAATTACAGGAACAACTGAGCTCTATGTTCTGTCATCATTAGGAGATGTTTGGCATCATCCCTCTATCCTCGGTGTGCTTTCAGTGCCGACTCATGAATACTCAGTTGAATAACATACCTCACATTCATAAAGTATTACGCATTGTTTCTGAGTTTCGACACCAGGAGTTGTTTTGGTTGCTGGTGCACTTTTATGGGGTCATATTCAGTCATGCACATAAAGAAGCAACTCCGTAACAGTCTAATGAGTTGTGTTTTTATGAGTCAGTTAAAGCAGTTGGCGACGTGTCATTCATGTGACCTGTGTGTCTGCAGGCGGCAGATAAAGATTCTGGAGACGCTTATCACACAGAGAGAAGCTTCCTGGTCCATACACCCAGATATTTTACATTTAGCACATGTACATGTTCCCATACCATAGATCAAATATTCTCTATGAGGAACCCAATGATGTGAGGAAGTGAAATATGGGGCTATACATCAGTTTTACTTATTTTGTGAGCTCCAGACTACTTTATAAAGCCACATGATCCTATTTTATCTTAATAATTGCTTTAAAATATAGGATGATTTGCGTATGACTGACATTTAATGAGACTTATTGGCTTTGGAAAAGGGATCATAAAAAGATGAACAAACAAATCACAAAAAGGAGACACAATAACACCTGGAAATGTTACTCTGCAGAAACAAGGATAGTAGCAGTGGTGTAAGGTAACTTAGTGCATTTATTGAGGGACTTGTACTCCACTACATGTATTTAATACACAATGACTATTTCACTGTCACTACTTTAACTATATTTAGATGATAATACTTTTCTACTTTCACTTGAGGAATGCAGGACTTTTACTTGAAACAGAGTATTCCTACACTCTGGTACTTCTACCTTTACTCAAATACAAGATCTGAGTACTTCTACTTTTACTCAAGTACAAGCTCTGAGTACTTCACCCACACATTTCCAACAGGTGATAAAGTGTTTGTGTACATACCTGTTCTGCTCAGATTTCTCTAATAGGCTACTGCCAGCGCTGCCTCCGTGTGGCGTAATCCTCTCAGAAAGATCCAGAAATTCCGTTTTTTGACCAGTTTATATCCAAACATACATCCATTGTTCCAGCCGAATGAAACATTAACAGATGCATTACAATTGTCTTTTATGAGAAGATGAGAGTCAGCCATGTTTTCCCTGCAGAGCCGCTCCACGTTAAATCTGCTGTTTTTTACCAGAGGTTTGGTTTGCAGCGCGGTTGGTGGACAGCGACATGTTTTGGATGCATGTGTAAACATGCTTGGGGTCGTATAATCCTGTACTTGACTATGTCCGAAAAACTAAAACACTGGGAGCTTAAAACGTGTATTCTCATATATTTAGCCGTTTAGCCACGTTTCCACTGCAGAGCTGCTGCACGTTAAATCTGCTGTTTTTTAACAGAGGTTTGGTTGTGTGCAGAGAGATGTTTTATCGCACTTTTTCCTGAAGAGATCGGCTTTTTTATGTGTGTTTTGGAGGACAATCCACACCACAGTTAGGCCTATTATCTTTCTGTAACTTCTGCTAACCACACACTGAATGAGCAGGCCTTCGGCAGCAGGTGCACAGACAGCCAATCAGAGCTCAGAGTGGCAGCAGGTCATCAAACACACCTGGCCTCCAGTCTGTGCATTCAGAAATGTAAACGGCTCTTTGTGTGTTAAATATTCAGTATTAGTTCATTGATCTCACACCAAGAAGATTGGTTCATATCTTTAAAGACTCATTATTATAGGAAAGTCTGGTGTTATGGTTCTCCAAAAGCCCATCAAAGAAGGGACATTTTATAATTATGTCGGTGAACAAATATTCATATAATTTAAAAAAAGTGTATAGAGTCGTTTCCCTGAGGAGAACATTATTTTGACTTTTAAGAAAAAGCTTTGAAGACACATAACATCTGTACGTGTTTTAGTATTGTTGTCTAGGATATAATCCTTCATCTGTATGGTGTAATTGTGTTTAATTAGAAGAAACAGCATGCCTATTTGTGTTTTCCACACTAAGAGCACTTGGCATATTTGAATTCTATTAAAACGTACCTTAAATCCTATAATAATAATAATTAAGTGCAATATGTGAAATACTATCATGCAGCATAATTGTTCAATCAAGCCGTTCAGTAGGAATCACGTTACGATTGCAAAATTAATCAAAATAGCCGCAATTGTTTTTTTTATCCTAATCTCTACGCCATGCGTTATACACATGGCAAGTAACTAGGTATTCTGATTGTTATTACAATTATTGAGTTAAATGTACCTACAAATGACAAAAAACACACTCTTTATGTAATATTTGCACATGTGATGGAGCAGTAAGGGAGTCTGCATACAATAATACACGTTTACTTTTTGTATATGTTGCAGCCGTTGCAGTGCATGTAATATTCAAATGGCTCTGTGAAAAGGATAGTCTGTGCTGTAGTTAAAAGCAACATTATCACCCAACAAAGGCTCCTGCTTCCACCCACTTCATCACACACACTCTTAACTCCCACACACACCCCGCTGGACACAATGGTAACACATCGCAGGCTGAGATAATGTATTTGCGTTGACCTCCATCCAAATGAAAAGAAAATAATTATACTTTCTATCTGCACGGTGCAGCTTGGTAGTGACTGATTATTTGGTGCGAGATTATCATCAGCGAGTTCCTGTGGAGGGAGAGAAAGTGACCTGCTTTATTTCAGAGGCTTTGGATCTGTAGAAATGTCTCAGTGTTGATAAAGTCTCTCTTCCTGTTTCTCCTAGACTCCACTGCCAGAGGCCCTCAATTCAAAGGACACCATGAAGCAGGTGAGCTGCACTTGAATGCGTCACATGGGAAAAAGTAATCAAAGGCTGTTTTAAAACTCCTGCTGAACAGAAGAAGACACTCACTGATTTCTGCAAGTTTTAGCTCTTAAACACACATTTCAATGAAAACAGAAAATCTGTTGGTTTAGTGTGGTGAAGCAGCGTGGCACCATGGGAGTTGTAGTCTTTAACGTAAGATCCCAACATGCTGGAGTGTTTAAGAAGACAACAAAAAAAGTTGCCTCATCTCTAAAACAAATGCTTCGATTATTTCCGCAAGTATTAGTACACGATTCCATGAAAACAGCAGTAAAATATTTTTGTTTGGGGTTGTTGTGCAGCGTGGCATCATGGGAGTTGTAGTCTTCAACCTCTTTCCTTCAGTGTTCATGGTGCATGGAGGTTTTGAAGTCTCCTCTCGGATATTAAAACAGTCAATAACATTTCAGTTTGAAGATAGAAATCTGAGTTTCTCCCTACCCGCTGTTCGGCTGCCGCTAACATTAGCCTAGCTCGTTTCTCTGTTAACTTCACACCCTTACGTGTACAAAGATTTTACTTGAGGACAGATTAACCTCGTAAGTTGCCTCTTCTCCTAAACAACAGACCCTCTGATTAAAACCTGTAATAACACTGAATAAAGTAGGTTCACGTTTAAAATCAGTGTTTCCCCGGATGAAACTGGAGCGAAGGGCTACGAGCTAAAGGCTAACATTTGCTCGTTTCTCTGAGTAAAAAAAGCCCCCAAAAATTGTAAAATGTGGCTTCAAACTGGATAAAAAGTCAGTTTTGACGGCTTCTGTCGGACAACACTGACTGAGAGACCATTGCTTTTCTCATTAGTTTGTGACACCTCACTGTCAGCTCATTTGTTTTTTTTATTTCAATGAAAATGACCCTCTCTCCAGGCTGCATGATATTTATTTCATTTTCTATTCCCCTACAATAGCCCTAATATGCCATCTAACAAAATGCGCCATTGCCTTGATTATAATTGCACATTTCCCTGAAGCCTAACCAGGCCTCTTATCAATATGACTTTAATATGGCTATGGTCATCAGGGTTGATAAATATGTTAAATCTTATAGTAAGTGAAGTGATTCCTCTGTCATATTTTATTCAATACCTCCATAATTAGATTTGTAAGTACATCTCTGTCTGCAGCTTTTTAAACTTGCTTTTCTTGCTTTTTTCTTCCTGGCACTGACCTTTAAAAATGTTCTCTCCTCTCGTGCCTCTCTCATCCGGACTTGCAGCGCTTGCATCCTCTCAAAGTGCTGATCTGTCCTTTTGTTGTTATAATATCCTGCATTACTACTCGAGCGAGCCTTAAAACACATTCCTCACAGGGCAGGCAGTCACAAGGAGTCTAAAGGGCGCTCAGGCCCACGGTGGTTAATTGACCCCCCCCCCACACACACACACACACACACGTGCGCGCACACGCACACGCACACACACGCACAGGCCTTATCTAATTTTCTTCCAAGAGAGGACATTTAAAACACATTCAGAACACTGGCTGGCATTGAAAATAAATCCTGTGTAGGTACAGTTTGTTTTTTAAGTATTTTCCAAGTCATTAAATCCTCTTAAAGTACACATGCAAACTGCTTTTCAGATTCAGATGACTTTATCCTCCATTAAATGCAGTGTTGTGCTAGTTACTGAAAACCAGTAACTAGTTACCATTACTAGTTACTTCATTTCAAAAGTAACTCAGTTACTTTACTGATTACTTAAACCAAAAAGTAATGCGTTACTGTGAAAAGTAAGGTTTTAGTTACTTACAAAAAGGGCTCCTATTAATGCCCTTATAGCCTTAATTTCAGTACTGTTATTGCATTGGAGAATAATACAATCTGTTGATCAACTTGACATGCATTATATGCAATCTGGATTGCATCGATATTAGCTGGCTTTCCATTTTTGTATATTCTTTCTCCAGGTTTGGAAAAAGTTTTCCGTCCCATATGCCGTGTGCCGCCCGGACATGGTATCATGCTAACTAGCTCCCTGAACGCGGGTGACTCCACTGTAGCAATAGCCTGCATGTGTTCTACAACATACCGTGCAATGGCTTTATCGACTTTTCCCTGGCTAGCAGTCCCTCGGTTAAAATCCAGCCGCTGTTGCTTAGGTGGAGGTGGAGTGGCGTCGGCTGAGTCTCTGTGGTCTTAGCTACTAGCTTCGTCCCAGCATGTTGTTTTTGCAGATGTTTTAAAAGATTTGAATTACTGGTTTGGGCAGTAGATAGGATCTTTGACCCGCCAGGACACAACTTACATTTAACAGAAACTTTATTTTCTTTGTGCTCGACAAAAGTGAAATAGTGAGAATATCTCCAGGTGGAGAAACTAGACTTGAGCTCCGCCGCCGTCATGATAGTCTTGTTAGTAAACAACACAAACACGCCCACAGCCCGTCTCCGCATGTGACACAGGAAGTATATAAGTACATTTACTCAAGTACTTAAGTACAGTTCTCATCTCTGTTCGCCTGGCTGTTGACTATATAAAAAAAACTAACGCAGTAACGCACCATGTAGTAACGGTAACTGAGTTACTGAATTAAAAAAGTAATGCGTTAGAGTACTAGTTACTGCCCAAAAATAACGGCGTTACAGTAACGGGTTACTTTGTAACGCGTTAGTCCTAACACTGATTAAATGTACATACAATGGAAATGTGTCATACACAGTAGAACATACAGTTCACACAGAATACATCTTAAAGTCTTAGAGAGACTACAGTGAGCAGCAGGGACGTGCACAGGTACGGGCTAATGTTGCCCGGGCAACGGCCCGTTTGGCCTTTTTGGCTGACCTGCCCCTCTGGAGAGAGCGAGAGTTTTTAGTTTTTTTTCCTGTTGTGGCCGAAACAACATGATGAGCCAGGGCCGGACTGGGACAATAAGTCAGGCCGGGAGTTATACACCCAGCCAGGCCACTACCAGTTTTTTGTGGCATTTTGCTGGATTTATTTGTCAATATTTACAGCGTTGCTGCCCGTGATAGCCCTCTAAATCTACTACCTACAAATAAACATATGGAGATGGGTTACTATTTAAAAAAATGTGCAAATCTATTTAGGAACCTATTCATGTGAACATATTTTAAGTGGGGGTGGACCTCAAATCCTATAGGGGGGTGGCATTCTCCCCCGGTAAGATTTTTTTTTAATGTTGGACTTAAATGCATCAATCTGGTTCACTTTGAGGGGGAAATAAAGAGAGAGACTACACCTATATGAAACAGAACTGTATACATTTAAATAATCATAAAATCATAAGAACATGGCCATAACCAATAACATACCATATCCAATATGAAAAAACATTGAAACTTGTTTATTTATTTGTTTTTGGTTCATTTATAGTTGTGAGTGTGTCTGTGCTCCTGAACCAGCCTCTCCTGTCTCCCCCCTCTCCCCCTGCTCCTCTTTGAGGCAGCAGCAAAGACTAGTTTTAGCTCTCAACAAGTTTTTAAAGTTTATCTTACATTTTTTCACCTAGTTAACGTTTTTTTATTATTATTCATCTATATTTTACTAATCACTCCCCCCTCAAATGGAAATATGTGTTTACATGAATGGTGACCAAACCGTGAGACCCACTGAGAACTAAGTTAACTATCTAAACACTCAGAGAGTCCTTTACCTCACCTGAGCTGTAGTTATCAGTCTCTCAGTCTGACAGCAGAGGACTCTCCTCCACCTTGTTGTTGAAACAGCTCCTTATATCCGTTAGCGCAGCTAGCACCAGATGCTAACAACAACAATAGCCTACACGTAACCGGTGCGCGCGCTTTCTCTCTCTCGCTCGCTCGCACCACACATACATACACCCTCCCGAGCTTGAATGACACACAGAGACCAATCGAGGGCATTAGTGTATGGTCTGTATGAAAGTGGCCATGTCGGCAGGCCACATCATGTACAGCCAGTCACCCTCTGTGAGGCAGAGTCAGACCCACATTTGCGCAGCGTTGCGTTCACAATACATACATTAAAAAAATCCTCAGGCCAGCAGGCCACTTAGCAGGCCAGGCCATCGGGAAACCTCCCGGTGCTCCCGATGGCCAGTCCGGGCCTGTGATAAGCCCACAATTAGTGTTGTAGCGTCTCGCTGCGGGAAACACACTTTGTCAGCGCTGTCATCTGCCGGTGCGTTAAGACCACCTCAGTGTCGGATTTTGGAAACTTGATTTTGAGTTGTCTCATGCAGTTAGGGTATAAGGGACAACCCAGGGGACTTTACTTCCTCTTGATACCGTCGGTTATTTACAAACAAACACCTAAATATAGCCTTTGTTATTGTGCTTCTGTCTTTCTGTGTCTTTTCATCTGTAAACTCCCTCAATGGGGCCGCTCGCTCTCTTCTCTTGATCGCCCTCTCACGGGTGAACAGTTCAATGTCCCGCTTCATTGTAGGAATTCTGCCATGTCTCTACTTTAGTTTGACCATCTCTGTTATTAAGTTATGGAATACTTAATAAATAAGTAATTAGATACCGTACCGTTACTGCGCTCATTAAGAATGATAAGAATAATGCGTATTGAACTGGTTTAATCAATTAGTGAGTTTATTTAAGGTAGGCTAATTATAGAAGCCCTATTTTATCAGTATTTCTGCACAGCAGTTACAAAGGGCAAACTACATTAGAACAGAATTTCCCCCATTTTTTCTTTAATAGTTACTAACATTAGATATTTTAATGACATATGGACTGCAAAACTAAAAATGTCCCTGGTTTTTATTTTTAAAATCAAGTCACCGAATGTAAGTAGTCGCCTCACATCAACTATACCACATCAGAACACTGTGCAAAATGACCTCAGATCTGGTGTGTATCGCAGGATGGAAATGTCTCACGCACAGAGAGGGGAATAGAGAGGTGTATCTGCAGATCACAGCGTTGCATGAATACCCTTTTAAACTCACACATTATCATCTGTAGCCGCTGCTCCTCTCACAACACAGCCCACAAAGGTCACACACG